TGAGAGGGAATACTCCCAGCACCTTTCAGCCTTGGGAATTTTTTCTCCAAGCTGCTCAGGGAAGTGGTGTAATCACTATCCCCAGGAGTGTTTGAATACAAGTGTGGATCCCTGTGGCACTTGAGGMCATRGATGAAAATAGYAAACATGGTARTGGTTGGATTTGGTGATCTCAGAGSYSTTTTCCAACTTTAACAATCCTATTATTCTAAATCATCCAACTTTCAGATGGAAAATCACACAGCCACAGGTTCCCTAGATGATGGAGTGTGGAATTTTGGGTCATATGGGCTTTCATATATGGTTGGCAGGGACGTTACACTTCCTAGACAGCTCTCAAATCCATGGTAGGACTGACACAGCTGAAAGCAAGCCTGGAATGCCTGAATCGTGGATATTCATCCCTCTGGGATCCAATCCAGAACTACATCTTGGACATTTTTGCTATTTTCAGAAAACGCTTGAGGGATCTGTGTTCCCAAGGCAGACCAAACACAGCTGGAGACACCTCTGATGGAATTGTCCTCAATCCTGTGGCTGGAGAAGAGGARCCTGAGCCATCTGGTCTAGTGGAAGGTGTCCCTGCCCATGGCTGGGAGGTTGGATGAGATGAAGTCTAAGATCCCTTCCAACCCAAACCTTTCCATGATTCAATGATTCCAACCTCCAGGTGATCACATCCCTGGATTCCCATCTTTTCTCTCAGAGCACTGAACACAGATCATGTCTTTTTTTTTTGTAAAAATCCAGTAAGTCTGGAATGTTTCCTCCCATCCTTAGGAGTGCATCTGTTTTCTTAGCCAAGAGATTAGTGAGTTTAAGCCAGAATTTGGGAGGTGTGAGTGCAATTCCCTCCTCTGCTCMGAGAGGTTCAACTTCTCACCTCACTTCTCCAGACAGGGGGTAGAAAGCAGCAAAAATAACTCAGACGTGGAAAGAAAGGGGTAACACATTTTTAGAGATTGAGTCAGTGCTGGGATTCTGGATTTATTTTTTTTTTTAATAGTCCCATAGGTGGAGAAATATTTAATATCAACCCCCTGGAAGAAAGACCTAAAGAGCTCCTCGGAGGAGGGTGCTCACACTTTCACCCTTCTCCAGCCCAACGAAACCTGAATTCCTTCCTGCCCAGTGGCAGAGTTTCATCACGAGGGTGGAGACCAACTCCACCCCAACAAGCCCAAAGTCTCGTTGTTGACACACACCTGTGAGAGGTGGAACTTCCACTGGATCATCAAACACCGCKGCAGCCACGGGCACAGGCAGAGAGGTTCCTACTGAGGGACCTGTGGCTACTGARTCACAGACGAGGATGTTGGAGCCATCCAAAAAGTCCCCTGGCAAAAATTCTACCCCTCTGGAATCACAGGAGTTGAACTCACGTTGACTCAGTGTAATGATGGGCAGTATCTGTATTTTCCTGCAGACCAGTTTGTCACCAGGATACCTGGAATTGTGATATCTGGGAAAACACAGAACAGATCCCATCCTGCAAATCAGCTGCCAGAAAGGAGATTGATGCCATGTAGAGCAATGCCATGGTTACCATGACATGGCCACAATGTCAAAAATGGTTGGTTGGTGTTTGCCTCATGAGAGATGGATTTGTTCTGTTTATTCCTGGGATTGCAGAGGAGAAGGCTCTGGGGTGACTTTTTTGTGAGCTTTCAGCACCTAAAGTGAGGCTCCAGGGGAGCTGGAGAGGGACTTGGGACCAAGCCAYGGAGTGTCAGGACAAGAGGGAATGACTTCCAACTGAAAGAGAGTGGTTTTATGAGATATTGGGAAGGAATTCTTCCCTGTGAGGGTGGTAAGGGGCTGGCACTGTTTGCCCAGAGAAGGCATGACTGCCCCATCCCTGGAAGTGTCCCAAGCCAGGCTGGGCAGGGCTTGGAGCAACCTGGGATAGGGGAAGGTGTCCCTGCCCATGGCAGGCATTTGAAACTGGGTGATCTTTAAGGTCTCTTCCAACCCAAACCATTCTGGGATTCTGTGGAGTGGCTCAAGGAAATATCCATTTCTGGGTTAGACAACATAGGGGAGAAGGTGGCAAAACAGGGATTTTGGAGAGGAACCATCACAAGGATGGAAACCCTGGAGAACAGACTTTCCAGAGAAGTCAAAGAGCCCACTAAAATCTATTCAAGGGGTATCCTGGGCAAAATACATTTCAATGGACAAGAAGAAAATTGCAACTATGAGAAATTAAATTTAGTGGAGGGGTGTAATGAGAGCCACAGGCTGTAGGAACTCCATGAAGCAGAGGAGAAATATTTTACACAAGAATAATTTTACCTATGGCTGATAACCACCCCCTGGAACAGCTCAGCAAAGCTTGGTGGTCACTTCCTGCACAAAACATCTCATAAAAATTGGGGCTTTATCATTCAAACAAGAATTAACTGTAAGGGATGTTTGAGCAGGTGAAGCACTTCACCTTTTTAGTCATAAACACCGAATTTCTGCCATCTGCCTTTCCTGGTATTTGTGATAAGYAGAGAGAGATTTTATCTCCCTGTATCACCTTATCAATGAGGGCAACCTTCCAAGGACAGGCTGGGAAAGGGTTTGGATTGATTCTACTGAGAATTCCCGAAGGCTTTTGGCACTCAACCCTTTCTCCCTACGCACCACACCTCGTTGATATTCTGAGCTCTCCAGACCCGAAGTGACATTTCAACCCAAGTCCCTTCTGGCTCCTGTCAGTCAGTGCTCAAAACCTTTCCCAGGGTTTATTCCACCCCTGACAGAGACAGGAGGGAATTTTTAGGGCCTCCTGAGTCCTGCAAGCTGTCTAAGCCTTACCTAACTGCTCTGTGAAACCACAGCTCCCACATATTTATCAGGCTTAAAACAGGTCAGATTTCTTCCCTGCCTTTGCTTCACAAATAATCCCATTTTTTCTAGTGTTTAAGATCCAGCTTCAATTTCCAGTCTCATTTAACTCAGGTTTGTCTTTACCAAACTAAGAGGTGCCAATATTTTCCAGTTATTTTCTGGGGAAAATCCTGTTCTCCCAGTCGTCCCATTAGTGGCCATTTATTGGTTTTTTTTTTTTCCATTAGGATCCCATTTTTTTCTTGACAGTGGAATTCCTCCTGGGAAGCCAGAAAGGTGGTGTCACTTCCCAAATCAGCTTCTGTCCCACCCCAACACACAYCTGGACACTACCTGTGGTTGTTTTTGTTGGGTTTTGGGTTTGTTTCCAGGGTTCCATCCCCCCATGGGCTCCTGATTATCTTTAGATCAAGGAATACCTGAAAGGTAACAGAGCTTAAAGGCCTTTCCTTTCCTCCACAATTGTACTGGAACGCTCCAAAACCTGGCACTGCTTTGCACTCAGCCCCTCTGCTGAGGAGCTCTGAAGCTTTCCCAGTGGAAAGAAATTCCCTTATGGAAAGGTCTCCAACATTTTCAAACCTTTAAGCCAAGTTAAGACAGTGGTTAAGTATTTATATCCCTATTCCTTCAACCACACTGATTTATCCCAAAAATTCCTCCGAAAGGAATGACTTTCAGGTCCAAGGGGATGTCTCCACAGACATTTGACTCCACCGAGCAGCCAATCCACCTGTGCCAGCCCCACTGTGCTTTCCTGCTGAGGCATARCCACCTGGAATGCTTAAAGCACTGGATCTTTTCCAGTTTCAGGGCTGTTAATCAAGATATTGCTCAAATGTGCCTTGAGCTGCCCAGTTCTGAGCTAAAATCTGGATGTGACCAGGTCTGGTGACTTTCACCGAGTGGATTTTTTTCTTATGTGCCCAGAAAGTTATGCTTGACCCCGGTATTTTTAGTGCCTGATCTCTGACAGCACAGGAAGATAAAACAAAGGATAATTTTCATTCTCCCAGAGGAGGATTAGGGTGCAGGTCTTTCCCTTTCCCACAGCTCTGTCAGCTTTGTGTCATCCCTGGCTGTGGAAATTTTCATTGGCAAYGCTTCTCAGGTTACTGGGAATCGTCCTCCAGCTGGGAAGAAGGAGAGGCTGCCGGGAATGGCAGCAAAATTCCCACGTGTGTTGTCATAACAAGCCTGTGACAAGTAAARCGCCTCATTAAATCACCTTCACTCACCTCATCTCCATCCCTGACATCTCCAAGTGCTCCAGTGATTCACAAACTTTGCCTCTTTGGCTTATTCAGCTGTTTTATGGGAAATTGCACCACACGGGGATTTTCCAATTTGGATCACAACAAACCCAACGAAAAGTCTATCAGCTTTTCCTGTGAAATATAAAATACCAGTGGCTCAATCCAAAATCATTTCTCCCCAGCTCCAAGCGTTTGAAGCTGTCTCCCCAAATATTAGAAATGATGCAAAATAAATTATGATGTTTGAAAGGGCTGCCTTGATGTGGGTAAAGTGAAATTTGCTATCAAGAAGACGCCAGAGTGGGAAAATTGATTCGTTGCTCTGTGTTGGGTTTATTTCCTAGCTTCTGGATAAAATCTGGTAAATAATTGACATCTTTCCAAAGGAAGGCTGAGCATCCTGCTTTGCCATCATGACCCAGGAGCTGAAACCAAGTGACACATCCCAATTCCAGACTTTGAAYTGCCATATCCCACTGGCCTCCAAATGACTCCCATGCCCAGCAGCTCAGTTAATAACCAAGGGACCCGGAAACCAGCACTGATTTTGAACTGGGTTTGGGAAAACAGACATCTCTGGGCAACCCCAGTCATGCCAGGCCATGGAATCRTTTTTCCAAAGCACGTGGAAGCCCGGCCTGCCATCACTTGCCTCTTGACAGCYGTTGGCCAGCACAACACGTGTGACACAAGCCAGCCCTCGGCTCGAGGAGCCAGACTGGAAGGAGCAAACAAACCTTGTCACATTCCCCATGCCAGCCCTGGCACGGGGCCACACCTTGCAGTGCCAGCTGTGTTTTTCCTTTTCCATGGGACCAGCCCCGGGACATAAACCTGGGGAAGAGCCGAGGTATGTCAGGAGTCTGCTCGTTTGCGGTGATGTCACCTCGTCGGGGARCTCGTTCCTCTGCAAATCCCAATCCAGACTGGAGCTGGGCTTTCCCCTGATCACCCCAAGGGAATCCGCCCACAGGATCAACAACAGGTGGTGGAGGGTGGGAAAACATATAAAGCTCCCTGGGAGCAGCTCCTTGGAACTGTCCTGGCTGCCTGGATCTGCTCTCAGCATGAAGAAACTCCTGGTTGGATTCCTGCTGGGCCTGGCATTCGTGGAGTTGGGTAAGAGCTACTCATTCCCAAAAATCAGGGACCCCCTGGGAAATTCCTGTGAGGAGAAGGAGGGGAAAGACCTGGTAACCCCCAGGTAGGGGAAATGATGCTTTTTGTATTGAAGGAGGTCAAAGGAGAGGGTGAATCGGGAAAGGGGAGATGCATTCCTGGTGGGAACAGCTGTGGTGCCTGATTGGAAGYGATGGACATCCTTTGGATACCTATCACCCATATCCAGGGATGGAGGAGATGCCCACGAGGCACAGGGTGGGACCAGCTGGGACAAGATATTGAAGTGACAGCCCCTACCTAAGCTGCCACCCTGTTCCTTCAGGAATGGGATGGAATATGTTCATCCCAAGCTCCTGCCATCCCTAAAACCTCCCAACTGGAAGTGCTGAAATCCAGAGGGTGAGACTTCAGTGGAGATAAGGATGAGGGTATGACAAACAACTCCAAGGATTTTGGAAAGGTTTATGAAACCCCCGGCTCCAGGATTTTCCTGGATTTCTGGAGATGAGGACATAGGTAGAAAAGGGAAATTCCCCTGGCTCTGTGATGGGTATGGATCTTGGGCAATCTGGCAGCAATGTTTGGTCATCGCTGTGTCCTTCCTCGATCTGGATGTGACTGACTGCAGCTCCATACCTGCCTGGAGCAGCCATTCTTGGGGTTAAACCCCCATTCAGAGGGGTTTAACCTACAAATCCTCAGGACCCTGGAAGATTTCAAGGAAAGGCAGCCTGGGCAGGGATCAAACAACTCCAGCTGGAGCCCTGCCTTGGATTTAACAGAATTTTTGAGAAAACACCCAAGGTCTCAAAGAATTTTGTGGAAACACAGTAGTAAACTCAATTTGATTTATATAGTTGAAATCAGGCAGAAGTAAAATTTTTTGGGTGATGCAGGGGGAAGCAGCTGGTCTAGGCCCCCCTCTTGCAGCTGAGGGAAGTGCCTGCGACCATTCCTCTTCCCAAGGTTTGATATCAAGGGATGGAAATTCCTGTTGGACTGTGAGGAACAGGGAATTATTGGCTCAGATCAGGACACAGAGCTGTCCCTGATCAGTTCCTCTGTCCTGGTCCTCATGGATTTGGGTTTTTCTCTTCCATTCCATGTGACCTAACCCCAAAACCCATGTCCTCTGAGAGCCCCACCCAGAGTCAGTGAAAGATGAGGGGGTTTCTCCTTCCTTAAACCTGCTTTTAATTGGGATTAATTCCCCCAAAGCACTTCCCTGCTCATCCATGAAAATGCTGAGGTTTGGAAGTGGAAAACGCCTCACCCCAAGGGTTTTGGGGCAGTTTCTCATTGCTCCATCCATCCATCCATCCATCCATCCATCCATCCATCCATCCATCCATCCATCCATCCATCTATCCATCCATCTATCCATCCATCCATCCAACAAAGCCACAGATATCCAAATTATTGTTGTTAATGTGTTATCTCTGTTAAAATATAGAACAGCCTCCCATGGATCCTTGGGAAGGAATCTTGTGAGGTCCCGAGCTGGGATAAACAGGGATGGCTCCTATGGGCACAAGAACATTGAATTATTTCCATTTAAAAAATCCTTTTTACCTCTTCAAAGAGAACAAAGAAAGTTTTTCCACTGTCTAGGCTCTAACCCACAACTGAATTTTCCAAACGAGCTGCTGCGAGTAGATGCCTCAAAAATTCCTTCTAAAGTCAGGTGTTCAAACAAACACCTTCAAAAATATTTATCCTTATCACAAAGCCCCAGAGGTTCCTCTCTCGACCGCAGAACTGGARCAAAAAACAGCGGCGCTGTGAATTTTTACCAATAGATGGCACTGGACGCTTTCAGGTGGTTTTTCAGTGGGTGGAAGGATTTTCTGGAGACAGAAAATCTCAAACCACGCTGGTTTTTGTCATCGAGCCACACCAGCAGGACCTGGGAAAATCCACACACTCGGCATCTGCTGGCTGTGGATGGAAAGAGCTCCCACGGAGATTTTTGAGAGCTGCTGTGACCAAGATTTGAATATTTAGAGCTGTTCCTCTGTGGGGTGGCAGCCAGCAAGAGTTTGTACATCACCTCTTTAAAGAGCTTCAGCAGCACCTGATGGAAGTGGTTTTGAGGCCACACTCAGCTCTCAGGATCCCTGACACAGCTCTGAAATTTAAATCCTGCTCTCAGTGACTGATTCCTGCAAAATTTCCCCTAAATAAGCAGGAAGGAGCTGTCACTGTGAGAGGAGGGATGGGGGAACTGCTGCTGTCACAGCTGGGGAATGCTGCAATCAGCAGACAGAGCTGGTTTTMTCATCATGGAATCATGGAATATCCTGAGTTGGAAGGGACCCACAAGGATTATCAAAGCCCAACTCCTGGCCCTGCACAGGACACCCCCAAAATCCCACTCTTCATCCCTGAGAGCAGTGTCCAAACCCTTCYTGAACTTTTGAGGCTGTGACAATTCTTGGGGATCCTGTTCAGTTCCCCACCACCCTCTTGGGGAAGAATCTTGTCYTAATATCCAACCTAAACCTCCCCTGGCASAGKTTCAGGCCATTCCCTTGGATCCTGTCACTGCTCCAGAGGGAAGAGACCAGTGCTGCCCCTCCACTTCCCCTCATGAGGAAGTTGTAGAKCCCAAAAAATCTCCCCTCAGACTCCTCATCTCAGAGGAGGAGCTCAGACCTACTACAGATCCCTCTAAATCCCTCTTTTTTGGGCTGCTGAGCCCAAATGTTGTGTCATGCTCAGGCCCAGTTCCTGCCACACCACCCTTGTCCTCCAGTGCTGGGATTTTCCCCCATGGAATATCCAAGCTTTGCCTCCGGATGCACTTAGCTTTGGACACAGCTGCATTTTGGTCGGGAAGGTGTGGATTTGGTGTGGATTTGGATTTGCTGTGTCACCTCATGGTCATTCTGTCCTCTCCACAGCCCAGTCCCTGAGATGCTACACGTGCAGGGAGCCCACAGACATTTCCAARTGCAAGACAGCCGTTCTGTGTCCCCCAAAAGCCACCGTGTGCACCACGACGCTGCACTCCGTGGACACAGGTGAGTCCCACTGCTCCCCCTGAGGGCTTCCCAGGAGGAATCTGAGAATTCCAGGGTGGGCTGGGTTGGAAGGGAGCTRAAAGATCATTGAATTCCAAACCTTCACRTTGCACTATCCCAGGTTGCTCARAACCCCRTCCAACCTGGCCTGGAACACTTCCAGGGATKAGACAGCCACAGCTTCTCTGTGAATTCCATTCCAGGGCCTCATCATCCTCAYAGGGAAGAATTCCTTCCCAATATCCCACCTAACTTTACTTTATKCCAGTTTAAAGCCATTCCCTGTGTYCTGTCCCTCCWTCCCTTGTYYSCAGTCCCTCTCCAGCTCTCCTGGAGCCCCTTTAGGCYCTGGAAGGGGCTCTGAGCTCTCCCTGGATCTTTCCYTTCTCCARGCTGGACATTCYCAGCTCTGATCTAGAGCAGAGGGGCTCCAGCCCTTGGAGCAGATCTGTGGTCTCCTCTGGACCTGYTCCAACAGTTYCACRCCTTTGTTGTGTCAGTACCCCAGAGCTGGAGGCAGYTCTTCAGGTGGGGTCTCACTGGAGCAGAGMAGAAGGGGAGAATCACCTCCCTTTCCCCATCCCCATCCCAGCTTGGATTATCCTTTAAAATCTTTATAAGAATCCAGGTGAAATCATCCCACTTTAAAGAGGGAAGGAAAGAAATCCTTCCGATTTGAAGCCTCACAGCAAAGTTCAGGACTCACTTCATTTATTCCCTCTGTTCTGCCATTCCTACGCCAATTCCTTTATGGACCCTGAATTTATCGATGGTGCAAACAACTGCCGGGACTTGTGTCCCTTGTCCATGCTGGAATAATTTTGAGAGGAGTAGTAGGATGAGAGGGAGAGTCAGCAGTAAGAATTGGCAGACCTGTTCCCATAAAAATTAGCCTGGATCACAGACACCCATGGATTAGGGATGTTGTCACCCTGTATTGACAGGATTAAGGATTAGGGGGTTTTGTCACCTCTGGGAGTGACCTGGAGGTACCTGGGAGGGTGGTTTTGTCACCTTTGGGGGTGACCTGGAGGTACCTGGGGGGGTTCTGTCACCTCTGGAAGGATCTCAGGTCACCTAAGGGGGTTGTTGTCACCTCTGGGGGTGACCTGGAGGTACCTGGGGGGCAGGTTCTGTCACTGCTTCTCAACCCCGTTTTCCTCCAACATTTCTCCCCATCTCTCCCTTCCTCCCCCTCTCCCAGGTTATCCCTTTTTTGGCAACATCACYGTGACCAGGGCCTGTGAGGAGGAATGCAACGCCTTCGACGGGATTGGGGCATCCAAGCCCAAATCCTGCTGCTACACCGAYCTGTGCACGGATGACAGGAGCAGCAGTGGGGTGAGGAGCAGCTCTGCAGCKCTGGGTCTGGTGGCCATGGTGGCCAGTGCTGTCCTCCACTGCTCCCTGTGAGGTCAGAGGTGTTCCAGCTCCAGGCAAGACCCCACCCTTCTCCCTGCCAAGCCGCCTCATGGACTCTTAGATGCTTTTGGAATGTCCTTCTTCTCTGACGTGCGGCTTCGCTCCATCTTCAATGCTGGATTTAAGCCAAGAGTTTGGGCATCTGGACTTAAACCYCTCAAAATCTCCAGTTTTCAGCTGTTCAAGCAGATGTTTCTCAGCTTCAGCTGCTTCTGGTCTTCAGCACCCACAGAAAATGGGTTGGGCTTCAAAGGACCTGAAAGGTCATCCTGCTCCAACCCATGCCATGGGCAGGGACACCTTCTCCCATCCCAGATTGACCCAAGCTCCATCCAACCTGGCCTGGAAGAATTCCAGGRATGGGGAAGCCACAGCTTCAGCTTCTCTGGGCAGCCTRTGCCATGTCCTGAGTGAGAGGAGCAGATGGATCTGATCCCAGTGACTTTCTGCCCATCAGGGTGGGGATGGCAGCTGCAGAGAGCTGGCACTGGATTCCRAGGATAAGCTAAGGAATGACTTCAGAAGGGCTCAACTTCAGTGTATTGGGATGGGATGGATTTCTGGGAAGCTCAGAACTGTCCCTGGACTGACAGGCCAGGGTAGGTCAGACCTGCAAACCCAAATTTCCAATTTTGGCCAGACAAACCCTTCCTTCAGCCTCTGAGCTCAGGTTGCAGTCAGAGGTCCCAAATTTCCATTTCCAGATGTTTTAACAAATATTCCAAACAAATCCTTCTGCTGCTCTGCCCTTCCTCCATCCCTTCAGAACAGAAACTGCAGGATAGGAAAAGTTATGGTTATTCCAGACATTCAGCTCTGGGATCCCAGCTGGGATTTGCTTGGAGCAGCTGCAGGATTGATTCTGATGCCCTGTCTGCTGTAAAAGAAGCTGGAGTGGAAGCAGATGTGAATGAGCCAAGTGTGCCCAGCTCACAGAGATCCAGGGAATTTGACATTCCCTCTGTTCCTATCACCAGGGATCACCCAGGGGAGTGGGAAGCAAAGGGCAGAGCGGAGCATAGACACACCCTTGTGTGTTCATGACATCCCTGCAACCTCCTCTGTGACAAAGTCTATTTTTCCTCCTTTTTTTTTTTTTCCTTTTTTTACTGTTTCCATAAGAAACCAAAGCAGAGGTGCTCTTTTTTCTCCTTGCACAGAGGGAATTGTTTCCCAAGGTCTGTCTCAGAAGAAAACTCTGACAATTTTGCATCCCTTGGTCCCTGTGAGCTCAGAAGGATGATGAGCCCTTTTTTAGGGAGGTAAAACCATCAGAGCTCCACTAAAATACTGACAACTTCCCTGAAAGTCCCCAGCAATGCTGAGATCTACAGGGGAAAAAAATGCCATGGAGAGGATAATAATTGGAAGTGACTCAAATCCCAATATTCCACCCACCCTCAYAGACACCAAGCACCAGTTCCCACCTCCCACTCGTCTGTTCCATTTTTCCCTGCTTCAAACCCAGTCAGATTTGTCAGGCCAGAAGCAAAGCACCATCASTGCCATCCTCACATCCCATTCCATTTTTTTTTTTTTTAATCCTGGTTTTCAGGTCTGTCTCCAGTGGCCTTTCCACCTTTTTTGGGTCCTGTTTTCCACGTGTGGACGGGGCAGGGTCTGGATGCAGAGGGACCGGGAGGGTGAGGGTTCCTTTMTCGGTGAGAATTTCATAAATAAAGTTGTATTCTCTGTTTTTCAGCCTGCAGCATCTTCCTTGTGGGGCTYAGTATTCATCTGGGGAGGGAGGCTGGGGCAGCACAGGGTGCAAGGAGGGAGTTCCTGGCTGCTTTTTCAGTTCCCAAATTTCTCTGTGACAGACAGGGGGGAAAACACAGCGATGAATGAGAGAGTGCAAAACTCCAGATTTAAGGCTTTCCATGCCAGAAAAGGAGGGGGGAAAGGGAAAATCACAGCCCAGCAGGACAGGAATTTTGGAATATGCACTGGGAGAAGTGGGGGTTTTCATGGAGCAGCCAGAAGGAGGCCAGCAGGACCATCCTGTGCTGCAAAGATGCTCCAGGTGGGGACCGTCCCCTGGTGTCACCAGGGCTGGCTGGTAGCATCTTGTCCCTCCCAGCCTCCTGTCACCCAGGATTTACCTGCCAACGAGGCCACGAGTTTTCACTGGAGCCAAAACAGAACCAAAAGCAGATTTTTATCTTCAAAACCCCATTAATGCATTCTTTGATTAGGAGAGGTGACAAAACCCTTCGCACAGTGTGTCAGGGACACAAAAAGATAATTTTTGTGCTGTGGCAGCCACAAGGCTGAACAAGCATCACTGGGAGCACTTAAAAAAATTGAATTTGCTGTTTCTTTGGTTATTGCTGTTATTAATCCCTCCCTTTGCTCCTCAGGAGGTAAAGCCAGTGAGTGCCACTGCCCCAGGAAACGCAGGAGATTCAAAGGCCCGGCCGGACTTTTGCGTCACCAGGTCGAGTGGACACAGGGAGGGAGAAGTTTAAATATAGGCTGGAGAAAATAGAGCAGAGGAAAATGTGTCTCCAAAGGGCCAGAAAAAGACCTGCAACCTYTCGGTCCTGCCGGATGAGGCTTCACAGCAGGCGGAATCCGGCGCTGGTGCTGCTCGGTGGAAGGATTTTTCTTGTCCCTCTGAGGATTTGCTCTTCCTAGCAAATCCAGAGATTTTATCTCCAGGTTTGGGGGCATTTCTCACACCTTATATTTGATCTGGCAAAAAAAAAAAATTGCCTTTTCCATCACTTTCCAGCCCTTCTGCAAATGTGGGGCAGCGTTAGAGGTGTGCAGGCCCATGGGATGGTTTGGGGGGAGAGGGAATCTAAAGATCATTAAATTCCAGTCCCTTGACACAGCTAGGGACACCTTCCACTGTCCCAGATTGCTCCAAGCCCTGTCCAATCTGGCCTTGGACATTTGCAGAGATCCAGGGGTAGCCACAAATTCTCTGGGCAACCTGTGCCAGGGCCTCACCACCTTCACAGGGGGGAATTTTCTCCTGATCTGCATTTCCCGCTTTCATTTACAAATCCAAAGTGCYTTTTCCACCCACAAATTAAGGAGTAAAGAACAGCAGAGACTGATCTTTGAGGATATTCTAGCTGGGATGCCCCACTGAGTCCCACTCCAGCCAAAAATCAAGGCTGTGTGTACTTGAGTAGCCTTTCCTTGCGGGCTCCACAACTTCTGAAATTATTTATTTCGATAAATAATATCCCTCCCCTGGAAACACAGAATACTCAGCTTAGATTTGAACTGAATGAGGGCCCAGGTTTGATCCTGTGGTTTTTGCCCTGGGCAAGATTCCCACAGAAGCATCAGGGACAGCAAGATTAATATTTAAAGGACTGTTTTTTTCCCAGCAGGAATCATTTCCAGTTGCTTTCCACAGCAGGACAYTGGTCAGACCATGAGTGGTGGTTGTTATCCCAGCATGCCCTGATTGCAGAGGTGGGAAACACCAGGAGCTGTTTGGCTGCTTCATTAAATATATATATATATATATATACATTTTATCTTCTCTGAAAGTGAGAGAGGGGGAAAAAAACCCCACACAGCCCTCTTGGAATGTGCATTAATCCAGATGAACTTGAAGGAAAGAGGGATGAGACAAGACAAGGGCAGAAATTATTGCAAAAATTCCAAGAATAGGAAAAAGAAGGGGATATTTTTTTGCAGCCGGGACATTTCATGTAAAACAGAGCTCTGATGTCATCAAATGCAGAGAGGACTTGTAGTTCTTGCTAAAAATACTTCTCCAGAATATAAATATACATTAGAGTGTAGCTGTGAGGCTTCTGGAGAGCTCTGCCACAGCCTGGTATTTACAGAGAGGGATTTAAATGTTTAATTCTGCACCCTCAAAGGAAAGTCACTCCATCTGAAGGAGTTATTAATTATGGAATGCGCCTGGCAGCACTGAAGTACAGCAGCAGCAGCAATATCATTTTCGATATCACTCCCAAATTATTCCTCATCTCAAACCTATCATGTGCACTTTTTTTYCCAGTCTTAAAATAGAGCTATTTTTCCATATTAGGGTTTGGAGGACTTGGAGCATCTGCCTCTGACACGGCAGCACATCCTCTCCTGGATATCTTCATTTTTCTCCTGTGTGACTCTCTCATCGCTGATTCCAGAGGAAGCCTCTTTCCCTCTTYATCCTGTACAGCCCCAGGCCTGGAAACAAAGCCTAAAAATGAGGTGAAAAGAACCTTTCAGTGTCAGCAGCAGATRTGTGGAGGGGGGAAGGAAGTCAAGCAGAGTGTCGTGGTTGGGATCTTAATTTAGAAAAGTCATTTTGGGTCACTGGGATACAAGAGAGAAGGCTCAGAGCATCAGAAAAGGCTGGGGCAGATGGTCTGGGTGGGCTCCACCTCCGGCACAGACCTGGGGCTGTGCTCTGCACATTTCCCATCGGGTCTGAAAATGCACAGAATGTGTTTTAATCCTTCTGTGTCTTAGTCTGGATCCTGACCCCCCTTTTCCCTCAGCCCCCATTGGACAGATGGGAATTGTCAAATATTGGTGACTCCAGGCTCAGTCCAGCCACACATTTTTAGGATTGAGATTTAAGTTTCTCAATATCCTCAGTAAATGTGGGTGAGGATGTTGTGCCTTGAGGTGAAACAATTTTGCACCAGTTCCTGTTTGGGCAAATTGCTGGAATCCATGAGATCCAACACGTTAAAGACAACTGAAAGCCAAAATATATGAAATYCATGGATCAGAGTCCCAAAAAACTAATCCAGAATCTGAACATAAATCTYACAGGCTGCCTGTTGTGGGTTTGGCCAGAAGGTCTCTTGATAGAATCATGGAATGATTTGGGTTGGATGGGTCCTTAAAAATCATCAAATTCCAGCCCCTCTGCCATGGAACACCTTTCAGTGTCCCAGGTTGCTGCAAGCCCTGTCCAGCCTGGCCTTGGACAGTTCAGGGATGGAGGAGCCACAGCGTCTCTGGGAATTCCATGCCAGAGCTTCCCCACCCTCCCAGGAAAGAATTTCATCCCAATGTCCCATCTAACCGTGCCTTCTGGAAGTGGGAAACCATTTCCCCTTRTCCTGGCATTCCAGGCCCTTGTAATACAAGGGGTAAATATGTTTTCTATGTTTTCAGGCCTTTTCTGCCCATTCCAAGGACAATTTGATGTGCCCTGAGTCACACCAGCAGTGACACCCCAGCACTGAACCACTGCCMAAGTCTTGTTTTAAGGCACAGCCTTGCCCTGGATTCATTATCCAGGAGAATCCAACTCTTGTCTTCTGACAGCTGTTTTTGGGACTGGGACATCCATCCCTTCACATCCTTAAAACARAAATTGCTCTCACCCAATAATCAGGGAAGAAGATACAAAATATTCGCTGGAAAAGCAGGTTGAGTGAATCAAGGTGCTTCGGTGTTGATGCATTTGCTGCTGCACCTCCTTTGGATTTAGAATTTCAGYTGTGTTTTTCTATGGAATAAGGATTCATGAATTATCTTTSTAAAGGAGTAATGTTGTCTGTCAGAGATTGTCTGAATAAAACATCTCTCAGCTCCTTTATCCAACCCAGAAGACAGAAAACAACACATCYTCCAAGGATCSTTTYTGTGATGTTGTTCTAACTCACAACCTCTTGCTCAGAGCTCRGATTTCTCAGGGTGACAGTCACAACTAACAATAATTATTGTGCTTGGAGTGCTTGGAGATCTTCCAAGAACAGATCAGAAMAGGCTGGAGCCCATGGAAATACCATCCAAGAGTAATAATTTATTGTCTATGTGGTTTCTGACCAATGAGGGCCTAGAGCAGTCTCTTGTTGGCAGAGCCACGAAGATGCACAGACTTCAGGTGAATTTTTTTTTAAAGAAATGATGAGAAGAAATAAGGGAGTTGACTCTTAAAAGCTCAGGAGATCCTTGGTATGTGGTCCTTGAGTTTAGTAGTAAAACTCTCAAAACTGGCCCTCTGTGCTTGAGGAACCCCAACCAGGCTGTAACATCCTTGCAAAGAACTGGCACAGCAAAATTAAGATTTCAGAAACCCTTTCTGTTATCCAAGGACACCAGTAGGTAAAAAAAAAAAAATCTCATACTTGCTTTCCCCAAAGGCAAACTAGATGCCATTCCCAAGCTGCCTATGGAGTTTTGTTCAAAACCCCCCATTTTGTGGGGAAAAGTCAGATATTTTGGTATCAAACCTCCAGACCTCCTCCCCAGGATGACTTTCCTCCTCTGCTGAGAGTGCGTCAAAGTCTRTCACCATCTCCTGGGTGTTTGTTTCTCTTCCACATTTGGGTGGCATCTCCCAGCAYGGTGACAGCTGTCTGGATGCTAAAAACACCTCTTCCCCCGTGGCTTCTCTCCCTGGAGATTGGCAGCAGCCAGGAAAGATTAGGAACAAAGTCTGGCTTGTTTTCAGCCCGACTCTGTAAGGACACGGCTCATCTGCTCGTGGCTTTGTGCACCAGCAGGTGACAACACGGAGCCACTGCTTTGGGTTCGTTTGGGAAGGAATTTGGGAAGTCCCCACGGATTTCAGAAAACAGATTTCTGAGTGGAAAAGGTTCTGTTGAAGCTTTCACTGGGACTGAAGTCTTCTTTTTAAGGATTCAGAAGGTCTGTGAGGGTGAACAACATCAAACCACGTTGGTATTCAGCTCATGGTGAGCCCATTCCCAGGAATCCCCACTTTGGATCAATGTTCCTCACCTGGAGCAGTGGCACATC